TACTTATTAAAATAAAAAGTTATTACGTCGTAACGATGATAAGATATTTCCGTTTTGTAATTTATAAATTCTGACATATGCAAATATATCCGGATAAATTCGCGGATAAATTTGCAGAAATATATTCGGATATATTCGACCACTCACGCATTAATTCGCATATTCCAAATATATCCGCATATATCCGCATATTATAAAATTTATCCGGGAGCCCTTATACCATTGTCGTATAGTATTCCTGAACAGCTGAAAAGCTGTCTCGTCGGTAAACAGCGTCTTTTTCCAATTATCATTGAGGTGTTTCTGCGCCCATTCCATACGCTTTTCTTTATGCGTACTTGTGAGTAATGGTGTTGCGAGTGGTAAACTATTTTTAGGACCGTCATACAAGAGACCTCAATATTGATTTCTGATAATTTTATAGCTAACGAGCGTGTTGATAGGGCAGAATTTCTTCGTAAATATTGGCCAACGGCCTTGGAGGTTTCTGGTTTGATCTTTTTGGGACAACACTTCCAGATTTTTTTAATTTGGCTATGTTATAATAAATTGTTCGTATCGGAATATTAGTTCGGCGGTGTATTTCGTGAGCATTGCGTACTCCCTCGTCCTGAAAGGACAACCAGACTTAATTTAGGAATGTGACACTAATTTATTTGACATGATCGTCCTTTTGTTACGCATTTATAGAGGGGTGCACCTTATAGAGGGTGCATTATAGAGGGTCACTGTATTAACTATTTTGTCTTACTTTCAATTCTCTAATAATTTTAATTGCGTTCCAGTACACGTGTACGAATTTAATCGAATATATAATGATAACCTTATTTTGACCTTTAAAAGGAATTTTGCTATTTATGCTTGACTTGATAGACCAGGTTTGATACTATGTGTAAGACAAAAATGTAATATCAGCTGAGCCCACGAATCCTGAACCCAAAAAATTTAATGATTCTTTATTTATTATTTTTTACGAATATTGGATGTTTTTTTATTTCTATTTCGGGCATTAAGTACTAACGCCTTGACAAGTATAGTAATAATATTCTTACTTTTTTGGTTTCAATGAAAAACCTTTAAATATATTTCAACGAAAATAAGCTACCAAAAATGTAACATCACATTCTTTATATAAGAAAATAAAAAATTCAAATTTCTCTGCAAAAAATACTCAATTGTGAAAATGGGTTCATTACACTTAAGTGATTTGAAACCTACCGATATTCTTATTACATTTTTATTTATGATATTTCTATATCTCTTTCATTTCTATTATAAACACTTTACTCATATTAATCATTACCAATCCCATTAATAGAAGTTTTGAAATCTTTAAAGGAGATATTGAGGCTTTGTTTTATAGATCATATAAAGAATATGGTCATAATGGAATATATGAATTGACTATTGCTGAAAAAAGACAAATTGTAATTACTCACGTTGAACATATCGAAAGCATTTTAAAACATGCACCGAGACTTGCTAATGATGGTCTTTTAGATTTATTTGATCTTTATAAAAAAAGGTATAGAACTTAATCATGATTACAATCATTGGAAATTTAATCGCCACATTTTTTTGCAGGCTATTATGCCCTTAACTCATTCTCCCAAGCCTAATAATTTTGTAAATATTTTATTTGAAGAAATGTCGAAAAGATGATGTAATAATTATTGTTATATCACTTTTGACAACTGAGAAACGAGCTAATTATTGTTTTCGTAAATTAAAGAATGAAATACTTACAAAAAATTATTGAATCTGGAGAATTTATTGAAAGTATAAACGTTTTTGTATCAGATAATCAATTCGTATTTGTACCGAAACGTATAAAAGATTTACCTTTTATTAAAAATCGAGTGAAGAGATTGTTGGATAATAATCATTTCTTTTATAAAAGATTGGAAGAAATCGTCAGAAGAAAAGAAAAGAAATCGAATATAATAATAACTCTGATTTTAAATCAAGACAACTTGATCCATTAACTTCTTTAATTATAACTAATACTCCCTACGATCCTCAGATCCTTCATTATCAAGATCAATTACAGATACAGTACGTATTACGTAATATATATAATATATGTCTTAAAATAAAAATATCAATTCGATAAACGGAAAGATATGAACCATAATCTCGTTCCGGGATCAAAATTATCTTATAAAAGTCCCTTTCTCTATTAACATCATAAAAAGCAATGGCTTTAATTTAAATATATTTTTAGTTTCAAATGACAACGTCAATAAAATAAAGAGATATGCTCTTTTTTTTCAACGATTAAAAAATTTAATCTCATTTATAGATTGTGAATATTTTTGTTTTGAATTATATTACATTTCACATAATCCAAATGTTAAAAAGAAACTGTTGGAAGAGATCAAACCAGTTTTCAATGATGATCCGACGATCTTGAAAATTAAAATATTGCGAAGCAATAATTAAAGAAACATCAAGATATAGTGATCAACCTGAGGAAATAGCAGGATACAAATGACCAAAAAATATGTTATTTGTAATGTATTCTCATAGAATCAACAATAACTAGGGATGAGGTGGTCCTCTGGACCTGAGGACCTGTACCAACTGGTTCGTCCTTGGAAATTCAAGACTGATCAGGACCAGGTCTTTTATATTATGTGATCATTCAATCAGATCATCCAAGTCAGTATATGACCAATTTCAAAAAAAAATTTTAAAAAAATTAAATTAATGCCATGGTAAAAATAATAATAAAGTTTATTATATACTTATCTTTAGAATTGGCGAGTTTGAATGGAAATATTAAAGGATATTGCTAAAGCTCAACGGAAGTGATTGTCACTGCCAGGCAAAATTACATTGTAATTCCCTGATCAACCCTAACCCTAACTTTGCCTACGTAAATTTAATTTTACCCAGTGGTGACAATCACCATCGGTGAGCTTTAGCAATTTTCTATATATGTAAATACCAGGTCCTGAACTGGTCCTAGGACCAGTCCTACAGGACCAGGTCCGGTTCATCTTTGCTCTAGGACCAGGTAGTTCAGGACCAGGACCAGACCGGCCCAGGACTTTTACATCCCTAACAATAACACACTTTATTGGAAAGATCCTGAAAATTCATTCCAGAAAGATTTTATGAACCTCAAGAAATTGAAAAACAGCCATAAAAATTCATTTTTAATGTTTGGTGGAGGTTCAAGAATATGTCCAGGCAGAAAACTTGTAATTATTGAATTGAAAACATTGATAACTTTACTTTATAGAAAATTTGATGTTGGATTAGTAGATATGAAAGCTCCCCTTAATGTTAAAACATCAACAATCACCATCTGTAAAGAATTAAACATCAAACTTATTCATAGAGAATTAAAAACTAATTCATAAAACATGATAGAATAGTAATTCATTATTGGATATTAATTAAATCTGTTATCAACAATGCAAAGAAATTTTTTTACCTAGATATGGATAAAATATTAAAAATCTCATTCTTTTCTCTAATAAATATTAATTGTACTCTACTACATATATACAAATTTTTTCATATTTATATAGTGCGGAAACTCTATTTACTAAATATAAAATAAAATTCTAACCATAGAAATCGATAAAAGCTTTCAGAATCATTTGTTAAATTTTTGATCCGATTTAAATTGATCAAATTTTACTGAGGTTGGAGTCACGTATTTGATTATAAAGTTCATAATTCTATATAAATACGTGAATATATACTTTCTTTGTATGTTTACGTGCCAATAAATTGATCAATTATGACCTTAAAAAGGAATTTTGTTTGTGGCATTGTCACCACTTGCGTCTCCGTCACACTTGATTTTAGGAGTTTGTCTGTGATCTACACTTTTAACAATAATCTTTGTAATTATAATTTTTAATTAATAAATATTCAGAATTCTAATAAATTTATTTGCTAATTTGTTTATTGGCGCAAAAATTGATGTTTCCAAAGTTGTTGTGAAAAATTCATCTATTGTTATTAATAGCTATTTATGTAACGTAAGAATTTATTGTGTTTGACTTGATACTCCATTAAATTTACGGTAGGAAATAGAGTTCCGGCAGAAACGTAAGACAATACCGGCTGAGTCCAAAAAAATTTAATGATTCTTTATTTATTATTTTTTATTACAAATATATAAAATCATTGGAGGTTATTTATTTCTATTTCATGCATTAGAAAACGATTTCGCAACCAGTACCAACGTCTTGGTAATTTTTATTTCGTGCTAAAAATGGATAATTTCTTGTGTACTAATAATTAGTTGAATTGATTATAATAATGATTTTTTCGTTAAATTGATTATAATAATGATTTTTTCGTTGAATTAATTATAATAATGATTTTTTTTTTGGGTAAAAAAAAAAAACCTTGGCCTTTCACGTTGTGTCGTTGAACCTTTTTGGTAAAAAAAACAGCACTTCAATATTGTTGAAACTTGAAAGTACATGATTCATTAAGAAAGTTTAATTCTAATAATAGATCTTTAATTGATTGTAACAATATTCTTATCTTTTTTTTTTTTGATAGAAAATCCTTGGCATTTTTGGGCAAAAAAGAATCCTTCAAACCTTTTTAAAAATCTGTCATATTGTTGAATATAAATACATAAATACTAGCAGATCATGCATCGTGTTCTTTATATAAGAAAGAAAATAAAACTTCAAATTTCTCTGCAAAAACGTATTCAATTCTAGCGATATAGTGAAAATGGGTTTATTACATTTAATTCTTCGTGATTTGAAACCAACCGATATTCTTATTGCATTTTTATTTATGATTTTTTTATATATCATTAATTTCTATTATAAACACTTTACACGCATTAATCCACTTCCTGGTCCATTACCAATCCCATTAATGGGAAGTTTTGAAATCTTTAAAAGAGATATCGATGCTTGTTTTTATAAATTAAACAAAGAATATGGTCGTGATGGCTTATATGAATTAAATATTGCTGGCAGAAGACAAATTGTAATTACTCGCGCCGAATATATTGAAACCCTTTTAAGACATGTAACGAGAAGTGCAAATGATGGTCTTTTAGATTTATTTGATCTTGATAAAAAAGGTTTAGGTTTGAATCATGATTACAATCGTTGGAAATTCAATCGTCGCATTTTTTCACAAGCTATTATGTCTTTAACTTCTTCAACTTATTCTCCTAAGCTTAGCAAAATTGAAAATGGTTTGTTTGAAGAAATGTCAAATTATTGGATCGATTTGAAACAAAAAGATGAAAATGTAATAATTATTGATATGGCTGCTTGGACACGTCGATTTATATGTGATTTTATATCCACTTTGACAACCGAGAAACGAACTAATACAATTCATTATTATTATCGTAAATTAAAGAATGAAGTAATCACAAAAGAGATGATTGAATCCGAAGAATTTATTGAAAATATAAACGTTTTTGTATCAAATAATCAATTCTTATTTGCACCGAAACATATAAACAATTTACCTTTTATTAAAAATCGAGTGAAGAGATTGTTGGATAATAATCATTTCTTTTATAAAAGATTGGAAGAAATTATTAGAAGAAAAAGAAAAGAAATCGAATATAATAATAATTCTGATTTTAAATCAAAACAACTTGATCTATTAACTTCTTTAATTATTACTAATACTCCAAACGATCCTCAACCTCAAAAAAATGTTGATCCTTCATTATCAAGACCAATGACTGATGCAGAAATACGAGGTGTTATGTTTGATGCTTTTTATGCTGCCACAGACACGGTACGTATTGCGTAATATATAATATATGTCTTAAAATAAAAAAATATTAAATTAAATTTAATAATATTTAATCTCATTTATAGACTGCGAATATTTTTTGTTTTATATTATATTACATTTCACATAATCCAAATGTTAAAAAGAAATTGTTGGAAGAGATCAAATCAGTTTTCAATGATGATCCAAACAGACAAGTAACAATTGACGATCTTGAAAAATTAAAATATTGCGAAGCAATAATTAAAGAAACATCGAGAATAAGACCTACAGTTGGTATGATTTCAAGATATAGTGATCAACCTGAGGAATTAGCAGGATACAGATGGCCAAAAGATACGACATTTCTATTGTATTCTCGCGCAGCCAACAATAACCCACTTCATTGGAAAGATCCTGAAAAATTCATTCCAGAAAGATTTTATGAACCTCGAGAGATTGAAAAACAGCATGAAAATTCAATTTTAATGTTTGGTGGAGGTTCAAGAATATGTCCAGGCAGAAAACTTGCAATGATTGAATTGAAAACATTGATAACTTTACTTTATAAGAAGTTTGATGTTGAATTAGTAGATATGCAAGCACCCCTTAATGTTGAAACATCAACAATCACCATCTGTAAAGAATTAAACATCAAACTTATTCCTAGAGAATTTAAAACTCATCCATAAATTATAATAGAATAGTAATTATATTATAACTATATATAATTAATCAATTATTTTATCTTACATCAATTTTATTAACCATATTTTTTAATGCCATTGGATATTAACTAAAACTCTATTATCAAAAATGCAAAGAAAATTGGCATTTTTTAACTTAGATACTGATAAAATATTAACAAAATAGACTATCTGTGATCTACACTTTTATTTATCTTTACTATTATCATTTTTAATTAATAAATATTCTAAATATTCTAAAAACTTTTGATTAGATTATACAAGTGACTAAAAAAGTAATATATAAATTTATTTTTATTAATTTTAAAATTTAAATATATATTGGAAATTCAGTAATGATTTATTGTAAAAAAAATCCTTTGCTTCATTAATAATAAAAAAAAAAATGGATAATTTTCTTGAAGGTTTGATTTTAGGAAAATCGATGTTAGGGTTAAAGTTATGGCTAAAAATAGGATTTGTATGTAAATTTTGCAAGGAACATGATGATTTCATAATCAAAATTGAAAGTTTATTTTTAAAAACGAAAATTTATTCTATTTTGTTTTGTGATCGGTTAAAAATTAAAAGATTATTTGCTAAATTTAATCTCCTTACTCAATTCAATTTTTGACAAAAGGTAAAACCTTTTATAAGTTTCGGTACAAATACGAATCGATTATCTGATACAAAAACTTTTATACTTTCAATAAATTCTTCGTAATTACTTGGTTCTTTTTATTTTCGATAATAATAATGAATTGTATTAGCAGTTTTTCAATTGTCGAGAAGGATGTAAAATTACAGACTATGTTCAACATAGTGGTGCGTCCTAATTTTAATCCTTAAAAATTTAAATAGTAATACATTTATTTTCATTATACTGTTGAAATTTGGGAATATTGTATTTCTACGAAAATAAGATACCAAAATTAAAATGCATTTTCTTTATATAAGGAAGAAATAAACCTTTCAATTCTAGCGATATAGTAAAAATGGGTTTAATTTGAAACATACAGATATTCTTATTTCATTTTTATTTATGATATTTTATATATCTTTCATTTCAATTAAAACAATTTACTCGTATTAATCCACTTCCTAGTCCATTACCGATGCTTGGTTTTATAGATTAAATAAAGAATATGGTCGTAATGATGTATATTAATTAAAAATTGCTGGCAATAGACAAATTGTAATTACTCACGCTGAATATATCGAAAACCTTTTATCACGTAATGAGAACTGCTAATAATGGTCTTTTAGATTTATTTGATCTTTGATAAAAATGAACTTAATCATGATTACTCCCATTGGAAATTTAATCGCCACAGTTTTTATGCCTCTCCCAAGCCTAGTAATTTTGTAAATATTTTATTTGAAGAAATGTCCAATTGTTGGAGCAAAAAGAGAATGTAATAATTATTGATATAGCAACTTGGATTCGTCGATTTACATATGATTTACAACCCCTTTGAGAAACAAATTAAAGAATGAAGAGATGAATAATTTACTGAAAATATAGAGTTTTGTATCAGATAATCAATTCGCATTTGTACCGAAATTTATAAAAGGTTTTATCCTTTATAAAATAATAAAATAATAATTATCTAATGAACCATCATTACTGTTGCTACTCTCGATTAAGAATAAAAATTACTTACATACCTTAAAACGTAAAATGACGCAAAATTTTATTATAAAAACTTATTGTTTAGTACATCAAATTTAGAAACAGTTGAAAATACTGCTAATGGAGATTCTAAATTTGAAGATACATAATGATTTAGAAAATTAAATCGAAATATATTAAATTAATTGATGTTTATTTAACTATTCAAATATCTAATATCTAATCGGCGGTGATTTATTAATTGCCGATCCGTCTAAGATCAGTACTATTGTGAAATTTGATGTAAACTTACTTTTTTTATCATAATAAATGTGTTATTTTTTTTTTGCTTATTCTATTTTTTTATAATTTTCTGCATATAAGTTATGAATTTATGACAAATGAATAAGTTTTAATAATTTTAGTGTTTACCAATCATGCAAAAAACACAAAATGAAGTCAAATCTGACGGGCGTGCAATGTAAACTCCTTTTTCACAACAATTAACATACAATTTTTTTTTTGTTTATTCTTTTTTTTTACATATATTGTGTGATTGTTACAAGATATAAATAAGTTTTGCGATTATAGTGTTTGTGTGATTATTGCCAATTGTGTGTAAATCGCCCCTAATTTTAATATAACGATAGTGTCAATCTTAGGCGGATCGGTAATTAATAATATTATATGTTTAATAATAATGACAATAATCACAATAATCGTAATAATATATTATATTATTAATTTTTAAATTTCAAATATTAATAGCTCAAGCTTTCAAACAAGAAAATGATTATATGAAAGATTTCTACATAGAAATAAATCTACATCACTCATTAATAATAATAGGATTATTGGAAAAAGTTGAAGTAGTAAAAAATATGATAAATTGAAAGAATTGGTTAATGTTTTATATGAAACTACTTTTAATTCGTTCTGGATATATGCTTAAAAATAATTTAAAGCATAATTTATTATATCATTATTATTGTTATTATTTTTGTTATTATTTGTTTAAGAAAACAATTTGAATGTTAAGTGATGATCCAGCAGTGAATTACTATAGAATTTCACAATTTTATTTGTCTACAGAAATGAATTCTTATTTTTTATATATTAAAATAAGTCATTTTGCACCTCCAAATCTTTTGTTGCTTCAATATAAAGTATAAAAAATGAAAATTATTATTATAATTTTTTATGTATTTTTTGTATTTTCCAAATATATCATAAATAAATATTTCATATTCAAAGGTTATAGTTAAAAAAATTGCCACTTGGATATAAATATTCAAATATTTATTTTCATTGAAGATTTGTATTGTTTTATAAAAAATTTATCCATTAAACATACGTGAGTTTCTAGTTCTATTCTAATTGGAAATTGGATTTGTGGATTAGGAAAAAATTACCAAAAATGTTTGATAGGTGCGTCTATATTTAATTTACTATAAGTTTTTGTAAACAACGATGATGATAAAGATAATGAAAAGAAAGATTTATTTAATGAATTAGATGATTAATCAACGGATCCTACAAAACCATCTCATGATAAAAGTGATTAAAAAAGATATAAAAATCTAAACCAATAAGAGAACTTCAAATTTTCATTTAGTCACTTATTTGAAAGAAGAGATTTTTTTTTAACCAAACTCCAAGACGTTTAATTTAAATTATTTGAAACAAGAGATATTTTAATAAATTTAATAAATTTAATAAACTTATTTTAGGATATAAATTATTCAAAGATAAAATCTGATGTGCAGCAAATGACCTTTGAAATAACCTTCATATGATCAATTTACTCATTTATTTACGGATCAGACCACTAATTTAGGAAGTCAATATTCAGTAAATCAAATCAAACAATAACTTTATTTCTGAGCGTCCGTCTAACCAAATATGTAGTTATACCCATTGACAAAGTTGCCTTATTCACCTACAAGATGATGTAATTGCAAGTAAAATCAATTTTATGCAACGAGAAGCAATTTTCTTTTTTTTTTAATAAGACGTCTCTAAGATCATTCAAAAGCTCTTCTCTTAAGCTTTGTAATGGTAGTTGAATCATCTTTTTAACATTAAGTTATTTTTCAATGCATTGATTATTTACTTATTGAATTCACACAACAGGGAGCAATTTTCTCCTAAAGTATTTCTAATACTATTTGAAAAGCTCTTATTTCGGGTTTTCTAATATCACCTTGGTAACATTGCATCAAAGACAATTTATTAAAATATGAATATTTGAAAATCATTATGAATTTATACTGTTGGGATTCACATGTGGAGATACTCATAAATAATAATTACTCAATTGATCGACAAAAATGATTTCTATTATGCAAACAAAGTAAGGATAGAAAACTTTTTTAAACCAGAAACGCGTTTTGTAAAAAGTTAGAATGGAAACAAATAAATGATTAACGTATTATAGTATGGAAATCATGCTTTTTAAATATTTTATTTCTGAGTTAATACATACTTTATAAATTTTTTTTTATCCTTATATAAGTACTGTAATGACATTTAATCATATAGCAGTTTAACCTTTCGTACAGTATACTGTACTGAGTACAGTTTATTAACTCACTGTGCAAAAACATATAATGAAAATGAGTTTATTACATTTAATTCCTCGTGATTTGAAACCTACCAATATCGAAATCCTTATTGGATTTTTATTTGTGATATCTTTATATATCTTTTATTTCTATTATAAACACTTTACTCGTATTAATCCACTCCCTGGTCCATTCCCAATTCCTTTGATAGGAAGTTTTGGAGTTTTTGAAGGAGATATTGATGCTTGGTTTTATAGATTAAATAAAGAATATGGTCATAATGGTGTATATGAATTAACTATTGCTGGCAAAAGACAAATTGTAATTACTCATGCTGAACATATTGAAAGCATTTTAAAACATGTAACGAGAACTGCTAATGATGGTATTTTAGATTTATTTGATCTTGATAATAAAGGTTTAGCTTTGAATCATGATTACAATCGTTGGAAATTCAATCGTCGCATTTTTTCACAAGCTATTATGTCTTTAACTTCTTCAACTTATTCTCCTAAGCTTAGTAAAGTTGAAAATATTTTATTTGAAGAAATGTCAAATTATTGGATCAATTTGAAACAAAAAGACGAAAATGCAATAATTATTGATATAGCTGCTTGGACACGTCGATTTATATGTGATTTTACATCCTTTTTGACAACTGGGAGACGAACCAATACAATTCAAAATTATTATCATATATTAAATAATGAAGTTATTACAAAAGAGATGATTGAGTCTGAAGAATTTATTGAAAATATAAAAGTTTTTGTATCAAATAATCAATTCATATTTGTACCGAAACTTATAAAAGATTTACCTTTTATTAAAGGTCGAGTGAATTGTTTGTTGGATAATAATCATTCCTTTTATAAAAGATTGGAAGAAATGGTTAGGAGAAGAAGAAAAGAAATTGAAAAAAATAATAATAATAATAATAATAATGATTTTAAATCAAAACAACTTGATCTATTAACTTCTGCAATTCTAACAAATACTCCATACGATCCTCAACCTCAAAAAAATGTTGATCCTTCATTATCAAGACCAATGACTGATGCCGAAATACGTGGTATTTTGTTTGATGCTTTTGTGATTGGTGCTGATACAGTATGTATAAAATAATAATTTTGAATAATATATATATCTTAAATCAATTCGATTAATTTAAAAATTTAATAATATTTAATCGCAATTATAGACTGTGAATACTTTTTGTTTTGTATTATATTACATTTCACATAATCCAAATGTTAAAAAGAAATTGTTGGAGGAGATTAAATCAGTTTTCAATGATGACAGACATGTAACGATTGATGATCTCGAAAAATTAAAATATTGCGAAGCAATAATTAAAGAAGCAGCGAGAATAAGACCTACAGTAAGTCTGAATACAAGATATTTTGATCAACCTGAGGAAATAGCAGGATACAAATGGCCAAAAGATATGATATTTATAATGTATTCTCGTGGAATCAGTAGTAATCCACTTTATTTTAAAGATCCTGAAAAATTCATTCCAGAAAGACATTATGAACCTCAAGAGATTGAAAAACATCATAATTCATTCTTAATGTTTGGAAAAGGTCCAAGATTATGCCCGGGTAGAAAACTTGCAATGGTTGAATTGAAAACATTGATAACTTTAGTTTATAGAAGGTTTGATGTTGAATTAGTAGATATGCAAGCACCCCTTGATGTTGAAACTTCAACATTCACCTTCATTAAAGAATTAAACATCAAACTTATTCCTAGAGAATTAAAAGCCCATTCATAATTGTAATTAAATATTAATTAATTATTATTATCAATTACTTTTCACCATATTCTTTAATTATAAATTTTTTAACTTGTCAGCAGTCAGGTGATCTCTAAAATCTGTAAAAGTGTCTGTTGATCAGACAATAAACTTAATAAAATATCTTCACTCACTCGCTCTTGACACCTAAATCTCCACTAAATCATATTTTCACTTATCTTGAAAGGTTTAAATCAATTGATTGCTACATATATTTTACTTTTAATCAATGATAAAATGCAGATAAACTTTTGTTTATTTCGCATTTCGAACATTTTTATTATTTCCTTCCCTTTTCCGCCTTTTGCACCTCTCCTTAGTCCCTTTACGATTCCCATATTTCAATGGTTAGTTTTCGTAAATAACAAAATAAAGTAAGTAATCCTTCTATTTATTTCTTTTTCACTTTTTTGTTATCCAATTCTTCCATACCTTTTACCATATTCATCACTACGTACAAGAGTGTCCGTGTGATGCTTGCAATGAAATATAAATGCCAAAGTGGGGAGCGACAGGGTACCTTGCAGTTAGGAAACATAACGGGCTCATGTTATACAAACGTATCGGGCTGGTACTCCACTGGTTGCTCCATGGAGTAATAATTATAATTAGGACCCCAAATATTAGGGAGGTAAAAAAATATAAAAATGCACGTCTGTAAATCTTTTAATTTTTAATTTTAATAATTTTTTTTGAGAATTATATAGTTTAAAAGTGGGTAATTCTTCATTTATTTTATTAAATTAGATAATTTTCAGGTACTAACTATTACTTGTAATTGCTTTTAGGACTAGTGTCTCGGGTGGCACAGTACCGTTCTATAGAATCTAGGCAAGAAAGAAGAGGATTATATAGTTTAAAAGAGGTTTACAGAGTAGTAGATGAGAAATACTTCGTGCATATTTTTTGCCAAATTTTAAAATATCTCATAAAAATTTTGCATAGAGGTTGCTGACATTTATTATAATATTTTGGGGTCCTGTAATACCTGATGAAATATATTTAAAATCGAAAATAATTATCGATAATTACTACATATAAAACTTTTTATTTTAATAAGTAAACGTCAAAAACGGTACTAAGTAATCTCAAAGATGAGAATAAATTACGTTTTATATTTAAAGAACAGACCTATATCATCAAAATTGAGAGAACAATTAACGGTTAAATTTCGAACGGATAAAGAATTTTAAAACGATAATTATTCGCTCAATTTTGAAGATACAGGTTTGTCCTTAAAATATGATGTACAATTTATTCTTATCTTTAAGATTACATAGTACCGCTTTTGATATTTACTTATTAAAATAAAAAGTTTTATATATATATATATTAATGATCGACGATTTTATTATTTTTATTATTGATTAACCAAAGCATATCAGTGTTACGACCCAACTTTTTGAGTTCCTGGCTGCCAGAGCTAAGTTGCTGCAGGGTTACTTTTGTTGCGAATACATTGCCTTCACGAGTTCCAGGTGGGGCGGAGATACCAAAGAAACAATATTATCAAAATTACCATGTGGTTAGTTTCTTGTCTCCTCAATGCCTGTAAAAATCCTGAGTGATTGCCATCGTAAGTGCTCAAATGTTGTTGTCTATGCGTTTACCAGCGCCAAAGTGTACGCAGATCCACCAAAAATTCCTAAAGTTTTTCAAATAAAAATTTCGGAGAAATAAACGAATTTTGGATAAGTTCCTTTATTTTATAGAAAATACCAATATTCAATTGCAGGCGAAATTGCGAAATTACGAAAAGCAAGGTAAGTAAAAACTTAATCAACAAGTAAATATTTAAGGATTTTACATGCGGAAAAGGGATTTTAAAGTTTTCTTTTTTCCGAATAAATATAGTCAATTTCTTCCATTATGTAATTTATTTATTGTTTTTAATGTAGATGTTATATTTATAATGTTCAATTTTGGATTGGCAATAAAGAATTTTTATTGTAATTATCGTATATATACAATTAATTTTTATATTCTCATTTAATGGTAATAAAGTGTTTTGTGTAATTATTAGTTATGGGCTCTAGTAGATTTCATTTAAGTTCTAAAAATGAGACATAAATGCATTGCTCTCTCAATAATATTAATTAATAACGATGATTTTTATATAAAGATCAAGTTCAAATCCCAGATTTAAATAAAATAAAGAATCATATTTATTTATTGATTTACAATCGCCATTTGATTACTTTAACAAACCAAAAAGATCAGATCAAAAAGAGAAATCAAATGTGTTCAATAACTTCTAATACAATATAAACTAAAAGGTAACGTCCAGCGTAAAAATAAAAAAAAAATAAAATCTATGGTGACATGCCAAAATCTTTATAACAAACCTTGTTGATATATTTAAAATAGTGCTCTATTACAAAGAAAGGAGGAGGAAGAAAGGGAAAGAAGAGGAAGAGGAAGAGAAAGAAGAGGAAGAGGAAGAGAAAGAAGAGGAAGAGGAAGAGAAGGAAGAGGAAGAGAAAGAGAAGAGATAAAAAATCCGACATTATTAAAGAATAACCGAAATCTATACATATACCTAAACTATATAATCATCGCCATCATGATGTAAGGTTACTAAGATGTAATAATTTATTAGTAAAATTATTCATATAAAGAATATGCATAAAAAACGGAATTAATTGTTGTTTTAATTTAATTAATTTAATAATGATTACCACTATTAAAATCTTCAAAAGGATTTTCGCCATTGACTTCTATCATTTTTTCACCTTCCATATCTAAACTAAAACTTTCATTAATATTACGGAAATTGATTGTATCAGTACCAAAACTTTGTTGGGGAATAATAGGAGGAGTTGTATGCCTAAGTAAAGCCCATTGTGTATTTTTAAAAAAGGGATGGGTCTTGACATCGGTGGCACCGGCTTTAGATCCAAGACGTCGATTTTCATCTTTGCAAAGTAATTTTCGAATTAAAGATTTGCATAGACTTGTTTATATATATAGAGAGAGAGAAATTGATGTTATTTAATGAATAATTTTTGATTCCTTTATTAATATCTTATAATAATAATAATTCACCTAAAATGATAATAAAATAATTACCTAGAAATTTGTTGAATTCCGGTTTCATGAAAACATACATCGTTTCTTAATATATTAGAAAATGTAGCATTTCTATTTTGACCTTTAAAAGGAGTGGATCCATACTATAATAATAATAATGATAAACTCTTAGAATTTACACATATATTAAATATGATAAACATAATTATTGATTAAATATTCACCAGCATTTCATATATTAAAATCCCAAGTGTCCACCAATCAACTGCACTTGTATGTCCACAACCTTTAATTACTAATTTATAAATAAATAAATTCAAAAATTAATAAATAAGAATTCAGAAATAAATAAATAAGAGAAATAATTTAATAAAAATAAATAAAAATAAATAGAAATAATAGAAATAATAATGAAAAAGAAAAATATTACCTTCAGGAGCAATGTACTCTAAAAATAAAAAATAAATACAGTGTGATAATCGATAGAGACAAATTAATAAATTAACCGAAAGAATCTAAAAAAATACTTATAAAATACATATATATATATAATATATTACCTTCTGTCCCAACAAATGAATTTGTTCGAAGATTCGCTATACATGATTTAGTATCTATTGATGGAGGCTGTATAAGATAAATTTGGGATACATGGGATTAGGAGGTGGAGCGAAATATAAACAACTTTAAGGCAAAAGAATTTTATACAATATTTGTCATTTGTCATTTTCAAAATCAAAGCCAAACGAAATGATTTGATCTTTTACTTACTGCATTACTAGAACTATTTTTGACAATACCTGGCATATTGGCAGGATGTGATTGTTTCGAAAGATCAAAATCTGGAAATAATATCGAAAATTTTTTAATATTCAATATATTTTTATCATGAATAAAGTGAGAATATAATTAAATAATTTATATGGATTACCTGAAAGCATAATATGCCCTGACTGATGTAATAATATATCTAACAAATTTTATAATAAAAAATTTTTTCTTGAAAAAAAAACTTTAGGAAAAAAAAACTTGGAAAAAAAAAATTTGAAAAAAAACTTGGATAATAAATATGAATAAAAAACAAATTAATAAACTTACTTTCAGGTTTCAAATCTCGATAAATGAAACCCATCAAATGTAAATATTCTAATGCGGCAATGACTTCAGCAGCATAAAATTTCGCATCTTCCTCTAAAAGACTTTTTCCGGGCCGTGTTTGTAAGGCTAAAATAAAATATAAATAAATAAATAAATTATTAAATAAAATAAATATTTATTTATTCAATTATCAAAATTCTATTCTATTATCAACAAATGAAACATTAACAAAATTCGACTGACCACGAAAGAATTCTCCTCCCATGCAATATTCCATACATAAATACAAATATTCTTCACTTTGGAAGGAATGGTATAAAGTAACGATAAATGGATGATTTGATGTTGCCAATATTTCCTAAATATATGATTTATTTTTTATATTTTTTTTTCAAAATAATTATACTCCAATTCTATTCCAATTCTATTCCAATTCTATTCAATTTATAAAAAAATAACAACTTTTACTCACCTGTTCAGCGAGTGCACGCTTAATTTTGTTTCTCTTAATCATTTCCCTTTTTGATAGAACTTTAATATATATAAAAATTTTTACAACAAAAATTATATTTAATAGACTAAAATTACAACTTTCTTATAATTATATTATAAATTAAATTATAACGAATAATTATAGTAATAAAATCAATGATGAAAAATTATTAAGCTCACCTTTCATAGCGTAAAGTTTACTCGATTTTTTCTCTCTAACTAAATAAACTTTCCCTACGTCACCTTTTCCCAACAATTTAATTTTTTGAAAACTATTAGGTCCCACCTCTACTCTTTTGATTTTGATCGAATTTGATGAATATGTTCGTTTAAAAGTTCCTGAACGATTCATTTCTGATAAAATCCTAGCCTGAACAGATAAGTTTATATTATTGTTGGTTTCAAAGTAATCTTCTTTATAAAATTTATTGACCAATTTATTATCATTATTCAATACTTTAGCATTGGGAGCCGAGGCTACTCGTCGTAATTTTTGACTATGGTTGCTCAAAAACTTTGATCCAATCGTTTTACTTTTTTCAATATTTTTACAACCAGTGAAAATAATCTTATCACTACCATTTGAAATAATAGATGTTAAAGATGACGAATCCATTTCTTCGTTGGAAATGTTACAATCATTCGCTGAACTAACTGAAGAATCTTTTTTATGATTAGATCCACTTATTTTAAAAAATGATTTTAACTTCGAAGGAAAGTGTGCAGTATATGAAGGTGCAGGACTAGTTATAACTGTTGTCGTTGTATGATTGGAACTATTTGAATTAGTAGAACACGATATTTCTGCTAACATAGTGTTTTTGGATCTAAAAGGTATAGCAAAAAAGGTATATTTACTTAACATAAGTAAAAATATAACGAGACTTTCCCCTGTCCTATATTTATTTCCAATTCGGTTATTGGTACTTCCAGGTTAACGTAGTTCGGGAAATTAAAATATTTAACTAATTAATATTTAACTAATTAAGGTTACAACAAATTCTAAATTTTAAATTTTTATAGTTATTTTTAAATTTATAAATTTATTAATAGTTGTATTAAACTATTATTAAACTTCCTTCAAGTTTCAACAAGTTTATGATTAAAAAATAATTTGACTTTTTGATTCTGATTTTTGATAAAAATTATGTTATGTCAACAAGTTTTTATCATACATTTACATTCCCCAGAATTAATTAAAAAAAAAAAGTTGTGAAACTTTATCTTAGCATAGTTATGGAATTTAATCTCTGTTGTGATCCAATTATTTAGAATTTCATCAAACATAAATGTTACATAATGACAAATATAAAATTTTCAGATCTATAACCATGTGATTGAGGTGTTGCTATATTCTTTGACACGAATTTTCTTCAAATAAATGATATAAAATTTTTCAATCAATTTGAATTCGTCAATTTTTATTGGTCCATAACCAAACAGGTGATCAGAAAATTATTTTGGATTTTTCAAAATAAAATAAACTTTCTTTAATGCGAATGATCTTATAACTTGTGACAAACAGAAATGAAAGATCCACAAAACCTATATCGGAATTTTAATTATGACCTATAATATAATAAATGTAATATCGCATTGTTACACCTGTAAATTTTGTTACGCGATATAATATTTATAAATTTTCTTTTGGTTAATAATCTGTGATGTACTAATTTCAATGCTGTAAATAACGTTATAATAGAAATTAATGTAAATGAATAAGTGAAAAAAGATAATTATTATTGCAGTATTGTTATTGTTGTTTATGTAAAAAATGAAATATGTACCAACATTTCGAATTGCCTAAAAATTAATTTCTTAGATATTAAAAATTCTTTACAATTTATTGTATAAATTGAAAATTTTCTAATTTTTCTTACATTGTAATAAGCAAGAACAAATTATTATTAAGATTATTAAAATTAAAAATTCCTGGCTCACGAGCCCAAGCCTAACTAAGGGCTTGTGTAATCTTTAAAGCTGGGTGTCTCTTCCAAGAGCTTCGATGCTTGTTTTACTTTTAAATCAAGTACTCCTTTTTCGGTCATACAGTGGGTTATCAAAAGTCATGGGACAGTTGAAAATTACTAAAAAAATTACTAAAAAAATTACTAAATTTAAAATGCTAATTGTGATACAACGAGTAATTTAAATTGTATAAACTTTTTTTTATTAGATTCCCTAATACTAGGGCTATCATAAGAAAATTGTCAAAAAATAACAAATTTGATCTTTGAACGTTACCCATACCGGATTTGATAGATATTAAAGATAAATGCTAACTATCTTATATGGAATTGTAGCCAGAAATTATGCCTACAACTTTAATTATTAGCATTTTTCATAGTATCTAGTTAAAATTTTGACTTTAATTTGATGTGAATGAAAATGGCCAAAATTTATTAAAATTAAAGGTTAAAATAAAAAAATCTGATTTTAATTATCAACCACAGTCACAAGAAAAAATTTTTTATTTAATAATATCACAATAAAAATGGTTCTAATTAAACTTAATCTCAAATTCAATTGTTAGTATTAATTTCAATTCTCAAGTAAAAAATCTAAAATTTTTACCATATATATACCATATTCTTAGTTATAACTTTTATTAATACTACTTTTGTTAATATATTAGTAAATAAAAATGTTTTATATGTGATTACGATTGTTAATCATTTTTGTAAATTTTCAAAAATAAAAAATGATTAACACAAATTTTACTAGATTTTAAAAACTGAAAAAATAATTATTAAATGTAATTATAATTAAAACTTTTTTATTTACTAATATATTGGCAAAAATGATATTAATTAAACTTATAGCCAAGCCTATGGTTCATCTATGGTAAAAAATTTAGATTTTTTACTTGAGAATTGAAATTAAAACTAACGATTGAATTTGAATATTTAAAAATTATTCCTTAAAATTCAATTGTCAATTATTCTCTTAATTTTTAATATATAATTCTAAAACTTTTTAAATAAATGCATTAGATTCTTAAGTTTAGATTTAATTAGTACTATATTTATTATTATATTATTAAATAAAAAAATTTTAATATGTTGTCGCACCAATTTGTGGACAAGGGTCTGAAGGATAACTAATATACTTTAACTAAACTAACTTAAACTACTTAAATAATTCTCAGAATTT